ACCTAGGAAACACGCCGCTCTGCAACCCCTAGGTCTGGTTCTAGCCTTAGCTGCCCTTCCCGCGGCTGTGCTGGAGCCCCTTGGCCACCCCAGCAGCGCCCTCCTTGCAGGAGCCCCCAGCCCAAATCCCCCTCGCCCGTCGCATTCGCTTTGCACCTGCGGGTTTCATTTCCCACACAAAAGGTCGGAGCTGCCAGCAGGCTGCCAGCTCCTCGGGCACACAATGCACCCAGCGAAATAGCTGCAAGGAGCTGTTTGCTGTCATTTCCTGCAATTTAAGACCATTTATTTTTAAAACTTTTCCTGCCAAACCCCCATCTGACTGTCACCCTCTTACTGAATTTTAGCATCGAAACATAGTAATTTATTAGAGATCAAATCCAAGTGATTATTCGACTGTCTTGTTTTTAAATACTACTTAGCCTTTTTAGCTGCACAGAGTCCATAGAGTTCTGTATAATTAATGTCTCTGTAGGAGGTGCAGCGAGGGCCTGACTGCACAGCCCCACGTTAACCCTTTGCTGAGAGCGATGCTGCGAGGGCTGCGTTTGCAAAGGCTGCACATGGACAGTGCCCAGCGCGGTTTGCACCTCTCCTTCGTTCTGGCACTCGTGGGTGAGTACAGCTGCTAGCTACCTACCCGACTAGAAACTACACTGGGGAATGGGCATTAACAGGCGGGGTGGTGCAGCCACCCATTCGTCGTTTTGAAGGAGCCTGGGAGTTCAGCAGCAGCCGAAGGGATTTGAGATGACAAAACTGGAGGGAGCAGGTGAAAGGCAGATTATTTGCAGGATGTTAGGGATTGAATGGCTAGGACTGTTAGGATTTCTCAGAGAGAAATGTTTGCCGCTTTATTAAGAGATGGGATGTCTCGTGGTAAGATTGATGGTACCTCAAGCCCTGATTTATGGAAGATCTATAAAGAAAGGGCTGAATACCCCCAACAAGAAAGTGCAGAATTCTGAAGCGAAAAAGCCCGGAACAACTCAGCCTACGGCACCCTGTCTGGAGCCTCCATGGGACTTCACGTGTCCTCACCGAGGGCCCACCAGGAGCAGAGCAGATGTTCCAGGGAGGAGGACGATCGGGAGCCGCGCTCTGACTTGTATCCTTGGAAAAAGACACAGGGAAACCGTTCAGTATAGGAAACAGGAATGAAACGATGGCCAAGCTCCAGGGCAATGGACATGGAAGGACCAGCGACCCCATATGGAGTTTCAAATATTTTGGAAAAAACAGTCCTCGTAAATTGTAAAAGCCTTAATTGACACCAGAGCAGAGGCCTCCTTAATATATGGAAATCCCAAGAAATTTAAGGGACAACCTTAATTATTACTGATTTAGGGGGAAAACAAATTGAAGCTGTGCAAACACAAATAGAAATGAAAATAGAGAACCTCCCAAAACAATTGCATTCAATTATGATTGTTCCTGTCCTGAATATATAATTGGAGATGATATTTTAAAGGGACAGACTTTGAATCTTTCTGATAGTTTGTATCGATTTGGAACAAAGAATTATATTAGTGCCTGGACAATTCGAGTCAGAAAGACAAAAACGTCCCCTGTGCAGATTCCTGCCGCAACTAAATTGATGGCCATGAACCAGTACAAGATTCTGGAGGGGGCATGAAGACATTTCACACACAATTAAAGACTTCACAGACAGTTAAAGACATAGTGAATGCAGGGGCTCTAAACCCCACTACCATGGCCTGGAATAGCCCAGTCTGGCCCATCAAGAAGAGTGAGGGGTCATGGAGAAGGACCGTGGGTTTCAGAGGATTAAACAAACACACCCCATCCCTTATGGCAGCTGTACCAGATATTGTCACCTTGATAGAAAAATTAATTCATTATATAGATGATATCCTGACCCAAGAGAGCAGTGAGGAGGAGGCGCTAAAAGTCTTTGAATTAGTTGTAGATCACATGAAAAAGAAAGGCTGGGAAATTAATCCAACCAAAATTCAAGGACTGTCCCACATAGTGAAGTTATGGGGAATTCAGTGGCATCGTGGACATCGGGAAATATTACGCAAAGCTAGACAGAAAATTTTTGAAGCTTCACGAATTTATACATGTTGCAGAAATACTATAAATAGTTGGTAAAATCAGCCTGGGCATCACCATATTTAGGCTTTTTTTGACCATATGTGGGCTTTCCCCCATATATGGGCCCATAGGCCCGATAGCCATATTTGGGCAATTTGACCATATATGAGCAGCACCACACTATGACAATTGGGCCCCAGGATTGCCATATATGGGCATTTTTGCAATGTATGGGCATTCTCACCATATAGGGTCAAAATGTCCAAATATGGCTATCTGTCGGGAGATTGCCATATTTGGGTATTTTGCCCGTCTATTGACATTTTAACACATATGGTCAAAATCCCCTATTTGGGCATCCTGAAACCGTTTAACCATATATGGTAAAGCCACACATCTATGATAAAATGCCCATATATGGCTATCAGTGCCTGGATTGCCAAATTTGAACATTTTGGCCGTATATGGGTATTTTGCCATATATGGTCACAATGCCCAACTATGGCAATGGGCTGGGGATTTGTTGGGCATTTTCAACCATGTGCCCCTGAGAAAGGCAAACACCACTATTAGGACAACCCGTCTCCTGTATATGTAGGACCATTTGCACCCGTCAGACATGCGGCCAGCCGCAGAGCATGCAGCAGGTCACGGCTACTTTGGTCTGTCAGGACGAACCTTACGAATTCCTGCTTTTCTCTTAGGCATTTCAAGACAAGCAGAAAAATCTTTTTGGTATGGAAAGTACAGACAAATTTTCTGAAAAGTTGTTGAATATCTTTGTCTGAGATGGAACTGTGGGTTATGCATCACTTCTGCAAGTAAACCCGAGAGGAAGCCCCAGCTCTCTCTACTCATGGTTACATGGGTTTACTCTAAATGTACACACTTGTAAAGATGGAGCAATGTCTCATGTTAACACTATTATTAGTGTTACTATCATATGACTGTTATTAAAGTAAGATGTCTAGCAATACCCTATAAAAGTTTTGTTGGAGAAAGTGGTCTGCAGCATACAGCCCATTTTAAATCTGGCAATATTAAGCCACAGTCAGTAATGCTAAAAGAGAAGGAGATTAGTAAATCCTACTTAAAGAGAATATTGAAAACATGATGTCAAAATAACTACTGTAAACATTTTCTTGGCCTTCCTTTCTCAGTGAAGCAGCTGATGAGCGACGATAACAGAATGGAAAACACCTCTGCCTTAGAGGGAGTGCAGTTCAGCTCTCCAGGCATACAACTCCTCCAGATACAGGACGGCAGTCTCGAGGCTTAATCATCATTACCTGCTACCTACCGTGTGATGGCTGGGAACCAAAGCAAGCCTCTTGCTTATCAAACAAACAGCAACTCTTCCTTTGCATTCTTCCCATTAGCTGAAGACCTTGCTATGTGGGCAGGGCAGAGCTGAAAACTAATAATAGCTTGAATCTGGGAAAGAACACAAATTAAAATTAGGCAAAATCATTTACAGAGGTAACTCAGAGAGTCAGCTACCAATGGAGAAAGAAACCAAATTCTTCATTTTGAATTGGCACTTGACAATGCAAACAGATTGAATCAGAACTGTCAGAAAATTCTTTACCATCTTGTAAGGATCACACCACCGCAGTGCTAGACAGAGCCCAACTGTTTCAGTGACTAACTTCAAACAATAGCTGGACTGTGTAAAAACGCAACAACAGGGAAGGATGTTTGCCTGAAGGCACACTGCATTAATGTAAATTGCTTTCAAATGAACATTTGGTTTCTCAAACAAAACAAAAATGGATATTAAGCTGCAAGGGGAGGCCACTGTTGGAGCCGTATAGCACCACACTCAGCCAGCCATCAGAGAAGCCACCACAAACCATATGAAGGCAGCTTCCATTCAGTGTGAATGAGGGGAGAGTGGGTCTCCCCTTGTGTCCAAGATTAGTCATTTTACGCTTCCGACTTTAGGTCTTAAGGCCGTAGAGTCTGCATCTCCTTTGTAAACTTTCCCAACTACCAGGAAATTGATATTTCTCCGTATTTCCTTGCTAGGAGACACCATACCACACCTCTCCCATCCAGGGCTGTTTGCCATTCTCTTTATAGCATACAGCGGCCACTTAATATCCTAAGCACTGACCTTTAAGAAATTAAAAATGTTATTTCACTTTTAATATTCTGAGTTTAATGGCTCTGAAAGTGATTAACAGTACTGCCTTAATGTCGTTACGTCCTTGCATGCTTGCTCACCATCGTTTACTAATGTAACTTAGTCTTTAACATGCTGCGACACCTCTGGGTTTCTATTTCTAGGTCAGTGAGGCTATTAGATTAGCAATGAGCAGCAGTGTACTTGTACCATCGACAGGCTTCACTGCTGCTGAAAGTGAGAGAATTAAATCAGAGATTGCTTTGCCTCTGGGGATCTTCTTCCTCTCTTCTCCAATGGGGATGCCATCACTACCTTTGTGAGAGTTAGCTGTTTTTTTCATTACAAAAATTTAAAATCCCCTTTTGCTAACTTTTTGTCACATCAGTTGATGTCCAGCATTACTTCACCGAACCAAGGGTGAACAATATTTCCTAGTGGAAATAGCCCTGGAATGGAAGAAATCTGGATCCAAATTCCAGAAGTTTTGGGTGACTTTGGAAGAATTAGCAATGCCACAATTGGATGGCAAAGGAATCCAAGCCAAGGCCTCATCTGGGCACGCGTGTTGCTAAAGTGCCCCGGTGCCACAACTCGCAGCCAAGGCACTGCCTGACACTGCCCCTCTCCAAGCAGACTCCCCATTGAGGGATGGGGGCTCTGGCTTGCAGTAACTGAAGAATAAATCCATATTATTTGGAGGAAAAAAAAGGATTTTTTTCGCATCTGTTCTAATCAAAACCTTTAGAGATTGACTGAAGAAACACTCAGGGTCAAGTCTTGTATCACAGCTGAAAAAAAAAAATATATTCCTTACAATGACGCTGTCCATGCACCAATTCCACACTGCTTTGTCCATGCTTAACTTGGTGAACAAACCTGGAGGAAAAATAGAACAAAAATAAAAGGCACGACAAGCTCATACTGTTGTGAGGGGACACATCACCGCACAGTCTCTCCTTGAAGGACATTTTCCATCTGTCTGTAACAAATCTGAATGCCATCATTGCTACCGTTACCACATGCTTTACAAGAAAATACAATAGAACAAATACCAAACAATTATGAAAGATACCACAAGACATGAAGTTCTCCTAAGGCTCCTAGTCATTTCACCATCCTACAAAATGGCATGATCGCTTCATTATTCCAGTAATCCCTCATTACAGCTCTAGAAAATTCTCCAACACCAAGTGGCCAATTCTCCAAGTGGCTCTCGCTGTCCACTCTCTTTCCTTGCCTAACGCACACTCTCACACACAGTACGTGCTTACGCATCAAGTTTTCTTCCTTTCGGAGCCATTGGGATAGGTCGCTGTAGGAAAGGTCCCGAGCTGACCCACGGGCTCGCTGGTGGGACCAGGCCACGCGCAGACCCTGCTCCTCACGCACGCTACTTTGCATTGCGGGCATTCCCCAGCCTTCATTGAACCAGTCTACTCACTGCAGAAACCAAAGCCAGCAAAGAAGGGTGCAGGTCTAGATCCCTGCAGTGAATGGATGCGCAGGGCCAGGGACACCCACCTGCAGAGCAGCAGGGCAGCCCCCAGCACGGCCTGGAAGGAGCACAGCCCGCCACAGCACAGGAGACTGCACCCAGGGACATACCAGGGCTCATTAGCTGCCAAGAGCTCTTTTTTCCATAGCCTTAAATTAGATCAGCAAGATAGATTACTAAGAGAAAAAAAAAAAAAAAAAGCACCTTTAACATGCATCAATTTCATCATTTTTGGGTCTTCTGATGCCTAACAAACAAGACATGAACATGCACTGCCATCTGCAGGAGCTGCTCCTTACTGCTGTCCCTCCGGATAATGCTGGATTAAATGCGAGCATGCAAGCGTGCATTCCAGGATAGAGCCTCTGTGTTTCTGGCCAAAGTGCTTTTTCTTGATTTCCTCGGCAGATGCTAAGATTTTTAAAAGCAATTCTTTGAAGTTTAGAAGTGCTTGAAGACAACTGCACTCTACTGGACACCTTGAGATGTACTTACCCTTGTAGGAGCACGTGCCACAGGAATGTTGTTGAAGGTCCCATGCTCCAGGGTCTCAGCCACACCATGGAACCCAGCAGCGCTCGACTCCTTCCTCTTGCGGTGCCTGCCGGGGACGTGTTCCACGTGCCTGTGCTGAACCTGCACTTTTCCTCAGAAATGAGCTATTTTAAGTGTAGGCTTTTGGTCTTCTTGCAGAGGTAACTCGAAGGAATGTTTCCTTTCGCACCGAAATCCTCTATTTCAAATACCTGAACTGAGAACACTGTTCGAGGATGCTATACGGTACCTCAGCGCATCCATTTCTTAACATGAATCATTCCTATGTATTTAATGACTCCACCATAATTAGCATCATAAAATATCTTAAAATGGCACATGCTCAGAATATGTACTGTTTAAAACTATATTAATAAATGTTTACTACTTTAAAGGATATCAATATTATCATTAAATATTCCTTGTAAAATGCATATCTCGAAGCCATAAAAATGCAAATTCTTATCATGAAGAACAATTACTACTTCCAGGTAAAAACATACAGGCCCACTAGATCCTTTCTTGATTTTCAAAAGCACACAATGTTTCTGGCTTTCAAAAATTTAAATAATTATATTGCAAGTTCAGAGATAACAAGTTCTTTTATTATTATATTTACATTTCACTTAATGCATCTGATTTTTAGATATTGGGGCAAGATGGAAGTCAAATAGGTTATTAACAGCAATTCAAATGAACAACACATTCAAAAATGATCAATTCACATGTCTTTCAAAATTAATTTCAGCAAATATTTGTGGCTCAGTATTTATGACAGAAACGGTAACAGCACAGCAAAAACACAGTAGGTCAATAATACTATTTAAACATTTATCACAGACAAAATGTTTTCAAGTTTGTGATGTAACACGGAGGCCAGAACAAATTATTAACCTGCTGAAACTAGATAAACATTACCATTATGAAAATCAACACAGAACAGTAGGAGTCATACTATGAATCCTTATTAAACACTCAAATAACACCATTGTAGCATGAGGACAAAACAATGAGTAATTTTGATAAATCAAAATTTACCGACTTCTCAGTGATTACTAAAGCACGCTAACAAAAATGAACGCGGTTTCTTTTGCCACAGCGGTAGCTCCTGTTCACGTATGTGATGGGGCTCATTGAGCAGAGCCAGCATCTCTCGCTGGACGCTGCCAACGCTCCTCCCGCTCGCAAGGGAACCCGGGGCAGCTCCAGCTCCCCAGCACACCATCGGGTCAGGGCACAAAGCGGGCGCCGAGCTCACTCCGCCATCCTACTAGCCCAGGCGTGTAGACACACCACCACGTGGAAGATGAAGCTGCTCATTTGATATGGAAAAAAAGGAAACTTGTTTTGAACAGATTTTTTAAAGCCAAAAAAAAAGAAGTGCGAGTATTTCCATCTCAAACTGCAGTTCATCTGGAACACACAGTAAACAGCAGATTTTACTGGCCCTCACCACAAACACAACTATCAAACAGCTTGCTCAACACACAAAAATAAAGACAGCATCAGTCTGAACTTAGATTGGGCAGGTTTTGTATTAACATGTGTTTTTAACTTCATTATAAATGTATCTTGAAATCAGGATAAGCATTTGACGTTATAATTATTTGCTCAAGACATGACCCAGCATTGAGTCAACAGTGTATGACAACTGTATCATTGCAACTAGTCATAAAAATCAACAGTACTTTCTTCAATTACCCTAAATACATTAATTAATCATGAATGAAGGAGTAAAACCTCTAGTTCTTAGGAACTGAAAAAAGAGCATTATATTTGACAGACTTTTTCTGCTTCTGAAATACGCCATAAGCATGAAGCTTTCAGAAATAACACAAGCAGGCTTTGCTGAAGACCTAATTAAAACCAAAGTCACAGGTGTGCTCTGGATCTAGTCCTGGATGTTTGAGCACAGTCTTGCAGTCAATACATGGAAACCCTTATATCACTGCTGGGGAAAAAAAAAAGTAAAAAAAAATAAAGCTGCTATGTCCTGTTCCTAGCAGCATTAAAATTATCACTTTTAAAGAACTAAGTTGCCTTGGGCAGATGCAAAGGCTGCACGCCTAGAATACATTCTCCAGCACCCTGCTGTGTCCCCGACACACGCTGCTCCGCTGCTGCTGCCTCTTGTGACAGCCCTAGTGACCACGCAGCGCTGGGACGTGCCAGTTCAGGGTCCTGATCGGACTGAAAGCTAAGCCATCAAAAATGCTGGTTTTAAATTAGATCAGCTGCCTGATCCAACCTGCCCTCCCAGGTACACAGGTGCCAGAGGCGAAGCAAGAGAGAAGAAAGGAAATTACATCCAGGACATGGGGGGAAAAAAATAGCCCCTTCAGCGCAGCTTGGTCTTGCATTAGCTGCAGTCAGCTGTTGAAACCATACCCCAAAGCTCACAGAAACTTCATATTCTAAGAAGAAGTCAAAAATTAAGGGATCTGCTTTGGCCACCATTTTCCATGGTAAGTAAAACTGAAACACCTTTATTGAGAAGAATGTCATACTGATTGAAAACCACTGGGGAAAGAGAATGCAGCTAAGATCCAACTGTTGACTCTTTAATGGATAATTCAATGAAAATTAAAATATGCTAAATGTAAATGTGAAAACATTAAACAGTTACTAAAACTGTGAAGTATAAAATTCCACTATTTTAGCACACTATTTTTAACACTAAAATTATATTTTAGTATTGTGAAACCTAAAGTTTACAGGAAGGAGATTCAGCAAATGTTCGTTGCCTTAAGCTATCATTGCCCTTCACGTGCTCACCTTAGTAAAGTGCAAACAAGCTGAAGTTTATGCAGCTCTCGACTGTACAGAGCTACAGAAGAAAAAAATCTGCTTTAGATCAGTACGCAATTCTGAGTAAATCTGAAAGAAAAATAAAACGCAAGTTGAAACAATCTTACCTACTTTATAATATTACTTTGAAAATAGATCTTTTTTTTCTTTGTTCTGTTATTATGTTAATGTAATACATAAATGTAATACAACAGGTGATATTTCCTTTTAACTTTCACATTTCTTTAGCCTACTTTTTATTTGGATACAAATAAAAGTACACCATATAAATTGCAACAGGAAGAAAAAACAAGTTCAGAAGGATTTCAACAGCTTTCAACCAACATCGCTTCTAGCTTACTAACTGGACACAGCTATGCATGCTGAACAGGTCATTACAAACAGCGTTAAAAGGGAGAACCAGGCCCTGTTCATTTGTCCTGGGCATTATTTGTCCATCATGTTGAGAAGCATTTCACATGTCATTTCTGTTTTCTGTTTGCTGAGAGCTGCTGTTTCTATTCCATCTAAAACTGGAACAATCTCACTGGCACAATATTCGCTTTTCACAGTGGAGACATCTTGGAAGGACTCCAGGTCAGCTGTGTAAAAAGAAATATATACATATATACACACACATATATATATATTGGTGATTAATCAGGAAAAGAAATACTTCAATAAACTTAACTACACAATTAATTTAGTGGAGAGAATACTTTCAATATATATGATAACACATCTTACCATATGAGTACATTTAGTTTAAATATTGCATTACAAGTTTTGTTAATGAAGAGTATGCATGGATTCTTATCAGGGGAAAACTAAGCATTATTTAACTGGAAGTTTATTTCCTGTACATGTGTTTTCTTTTTTTTTTAGTAACAGTAAGTCATTAACTGTCATCAGTTGCACAAATATTTTCTAAAAGAGCGAAGTTATTGGGCTTATGTGATCTTTTATAAAGCTACACAGAGAACACTATAGGCCTCCGCAAGTTGTGTAAGAAGTGAAGAGCAATGTACGCTCCCAAAAAAGTCAATTCTAGGAACAAATTTCTGCAACCAGGACAGAAATTTATAATATTTGTGCAAGGGAATTAATAGACTGAGTATTTACAAGAGCAACACCTAAAGAGACATAATATGTATTCAGGAAACAAAGCTTCCAGCTGAAGTGATCTACATTATACCAAAATTATATAATTTGCAAATTATATATAATAGGAAAACCGTAATGAACAGTAAAATCTAATTACTGCAAAAACAGAAACACTGCAGCTGTAGCATTTCCTTCTAACCATACCATTACAGCTTTACCAGTACAAACAGAAGAGTCAATGCTAATGTAAATTCAGCTGCTGGTATATTCATTAGATTCAGAAAAATGTCAGCATTTCTTCTTTTCATTAAGTCAAATTTTACCTCAGTGTCATTGGCCACGAATCATATATCTACATGTAGATACAATCTGATATACAAAATTTAAGGTTTTGGAACACCTAGGCCTTCAGATACGTCTCCATTCTTCACGCTTTCTCCACAAAAATCACCTTGAGAATCATATCAAGATGATTACCATGGCCTTCCAACAGTATCTGTGAGTCAGAGAGCAAAAACTAACAGGGTGCTCTGGTCAGGCTTTTTTTTTTGTTAGGCTAATGAGAAAACATTGGGAAGAAAGGGGAAGAGGAAAAAAGATATTTCCCTATATTCTATATTCAAAATAATGGAATAAGCACTCAGTGCTCAAGAGCTATTTACATTAAGTAACACTAGGTAATTACAAGGGTCTGAGCACACATGTTGAAACAAGAGGCCAATAAACTGACCTGTTCATGTCTGCAGCCAATGGAAGGGAAAAATCTAGCTGTTTACACCACTAGCATTTTTATTGTTATTTGACCATGCGAAAGCGTGAGAGAAAGAAAAACTTCTGTTAAGTTCTACTAGCTTTGCCGTGATTAACATCTGGTTTGAATTCTGAGATTGGAGAGTTTTCAAGCTGGTCTGATTTAAGGCAGTATCTATTACTAAAAAATGGGCTCTTAGGAAAGCTCACTATGGCTCACTCAGAAATGATAAAGGCAAATTGGATTTTTTAAAATGGAAAAGCAAAATGCACCTGTACACTTTACCAAGTAGGGACTTTGGGAAAACATATGCAGGAGCAGGGGAAAAGATGTCCCAGAACAGGCACCTCAGCAATGACCCTATCTCAGATGACTACAATTTTGACACATAATGAAGACTTTTCTGAAGCATTCTTCCATTATTAGCACTTAAATTAGCTTCATTGTGAAACAGTAATTAAACAGCAGGGGAGATTCACTGCCTCAGCCTTTTATTCTTGATTCTAATTTACATGATTAAATTCTAACTTATTCGCTGATTACCTTCTTGTTTAACATGCCTTAGGTTCTCACGTTTTTTCTTTTTGCCCTTGCTTCTTTTTCTGGATGCAACAGCTTTTGCTCTCACCAATCCACAATTTTCAGCATGCTTATGCATATTACTCTGTCAGCATAATGAAGCATAAATATATGAATCAATATTAATTTTAAGCACTTTAATATAAAGAAAAAAATATGGTTCTGATGAGCACATTTTGGATCACTAAGTGAAAGCCTTAGTTAACTTCCTTAAACTCCTGAAGATCTGCGCAGGATATATATTGGAATTCTGGTTTAAAGGAACACTGTTACTTGATGGGTATAAAACAATATGTATTATTACCTGTTTCACAGATAAGCCATATGGTCTTACACATAAAATGTAAAAAGGGTTGCACTGGCTTTCCAAGTTGACAGTTTACTTTTACAGTTAATCCGAAACCAGTGATACTTTCACATAGTATGTGATTTTAACACAAACAGAAATTTCGTACTTCCCTTGCTGAAGTGGTTCTGGAACTCATCCCTTCAATTAGCTCCAAGCACTTCTGTTTGTGTTAAAATTTATACCTCTCCACTGCGTTTGTGTTTGTTCTGAGCAGGCTGTTGTGCTGAGCTCTAGTAACTCCAACACTGCATTGTAGAAACTGGTGGCACCCCTGAAAATACCACCTGACAGATACCTCTACCTTGAAGGGGAAAAACATAATGTCACTGCTATAGAGCTTGGGAAAAAAAAAAAAACAAACAGATGCTGGCTTAGCACTAGGAGGTTAACACTCTAGTCAGTGCCCGGCTTTTCATTTTCAGTATGTGATATGTAGTACTTAACTAAAGATAACTCCACTGAGATTCCTTAAAATGAAGCATCTTACCCAGCGTGAATAGCCCTTACCACATTCAGGGCATTCATAAACTGGAGGTTTGAAATTGGAGTCGTGGTGCTTCCTGAAGTGCACGGTGAGCAGCTGCTTGCGCCGAAAGCTCTTGCTGCAGCACAGGCAGCTGAAGGGCTTCTCCCCAGTATGGGTGCGTTTATGGACAACTAAGTGTCGTTCCTGCAACAACAACCAAGTACATGCAACGTCACTACCCAGCTTGGTGATGTGTTCAAAAAAACACACTCACAAGTACAAGGATGTTCCACAGGCTCCTTAATAATCCTTCATGCCAAGAGATGCCAAATAATATGTTAATATCTACTGACTAGGAGTAGGTCAGAAGAGTTTATCCCTCCTAAGTTTGTTAATGTTAGCAAACAAGATAATCAAGACCAAAGGTAGCAATAAAATCAAATTTACAGTTTTTTTTCAGGTCTGAAATAAAATGAAATTCTCTTCTATAAAAGTGAGAGTAAGTTCAGAATCATGAACTCTCTATTTTGAGTGTTTTGAGAGCTCTCAGCATCTCTTCTCCCCACTTCCTCTTGGAAATTCCACTCCAGTTGAGCTGCTATGCCTGTGACCTTGCAGTAATCCCCTGTTGAAATCCAATCATTTCTCAAAATTTAGAAACAGCAATGTCCCGAATATTTTTATAACACTTTTTTCTTTAATAAAAAAAATTAGTTCAGGCTGCATTCTACGACACTGCTGAAATGTGTACTTACAAGCAATTTGTTCTCATCAAAACATCAGCAAAAATGATTGCTCTTACTTTACACTCCTTAACAGTTCATGTACAAAGATTTATCTGATAGCTTTTGACTTTTTTTTGCATTCCAATTTTACTGTTTTTTTTTTCCCCATCAACCATTTATCTTTCAAATAAACCTAGCCACAGTATTTTAGTAAGACTGCAGTAAGAAAAACTTTTTTCTTCCTAAGGTAAACCATACCCAAAGCCCCAATTCAATGAGCAATCATTTCTCAGTTACATACCTGCTTGCATGCATAGCTGCACTGATCACACTTGAACCTTTTCTCATTTCTGTGCGTCTTCTTGTGCTGAGTAAGAGCATAGCGCTCATGAAAAACAGCTTCACAGTAACTGCATTTAATTGCCACTGCCATGTAGGAATGCAGATTTCGCAAGTGGACACCTAAACAGTTAGTAAAGGCAGTTAATTTTAATGGTAAGTTCTGGATTTCCACAGTTCTGCATAAGAGTTTGATTGTGCCCAAGTATGGGCATATGTGGTAGAGCAAAATACAGAAAGGAACCTTCTGTGTTCCTTATTGTAGGGGCAAAAAAACATAGAAAACATACTATTGACCTCAACGCCAGAAAGCAGGGGATTCAGCTCGCTGAAGTCCCAAACAGCCAGTTTTTCAATGCAGTTGCAATAATAATTGCATCTTTAGTAATAAAGTAGTAACACAAGACACAGACTTTCCAGGGAAATTAAACAGTTTATAAGCCTAAGCCTCATCAATTTCCATGGAAATCAAACTCTTCTGAAAGTGGTAATAGGTGCTTGTGCCTACCTATAAACACAAATAAACACTACCTAAAGTAGTATTTCCAATAACAAAATGATAAATGGAAAAAAAAACAAAGAAATGGTATATATAAATAATAATTGCACTTCACGTTTCAAATATTAACGTATCTCCAAGGGAACTTTATTTGAAAATATAAATAGATGCAAAAGACACCTAAAAGCCTTTTTAAAGCATATTCTATCACTTCTGACTGTTACAGAACATCAAAAATCATTTTTGATAGTAATCTAGTAAATTTAGAATTCTAAGGATTTTCCATGGAATTGATGAAGTCAAAAGATAACTTGCATTTTATTAAATAATGCAATTTAATGTATTATTCTAAATCAGAAGGACAATGTGCTCAGCAACCAAAAAAAGCAGAAAAATTCAAACTAAAAGCTTTGTAAAAGCAAAAACATACATATACTAAAACTTTTCACTTATTTTAGTTTCCCACATTGCTACATGGATATTTTTATATTGGCTAGACCTGAGAAGGAAACAGAATGTGAGAACTGAAATGGCTCCATGCAGATTTGCTCTGTTTTCTGTAGCTTTAAGAATAAATTTGGCAATACATGAACATAGGAACCCTCACGCTGGAAAACAGAAGGTCACAGTGCAACAGGTATTGAGTAAAAGAAAGTTAAAATTCACATTTTAGAGAGAAAAATAAAGGATCAACCACAAGATGTCACCACATCTCCTCGCAGAAAAGAGTTACATTTAAATCAATAAATACATTTTCTCTGGAAAAATTCTGCAATGATACAAGGTCAGTATAAACAATAACAATCAAATATAACTTTCTAGTTATTTCCAATTTCTTTTTTTTTCTCTTTACACTCACCCAGATCGCTTTTTCTTGCGATAAACGTGCTACAATGCGGACACTGATACTTTGGCACATTTTCACCGTGCTTTTGTAATATATGGATTTTCATGGTACCACTTTGAGTGAATCTGGCCTGGCAAACATAACATTCATATGGCTTTTCACCTGTGAAAATCAAAAAACAATACAGACTTTGAAGCACTTGCCTCCAGAATGGATACAAATACAAAATCCCCCCGGACAGACACTCTTATCAGCATCAGTCGCCAGCCCACGGAAGTCGTCCTGGTAGCAGACAATGCACAAAAGGGTCAACAAGTTTATGTGGCCGATTATCCTGCAAGACCTGGGGGCTGCAGTGGCTCTGCATCAAACTGACAAAAGTATAAAGCTGTTAATATGATTCTAGATTATTAATCGCATTATGTTTTAATAATCATTTATTCTGTCTTGAATACTTCATATAAAATACTGATGGTTCAACTCACAAGAAGAGCTGAAGAGCTGTAAAGCTCATGTGATAAAAAAAATGAAGCAGTATAAGCTACTGATATTGGGGAAAGGTAAGTTCTTTTCTTACCTTTCTTTCCAAAAATGTTTCTCAAGCTTTTATTCAAAATCATAAGTGGAAAACTGCTTCTCAGCAACTACATTTCAGAGTCTGAAGTCAGGTCACTTTAAAGTAACTGGTAAAGCTATGGACTTTAAAGCCCTGCCGGGGACACAGGCTGGCTTACACCAGGCCGTCCTACCTGAGTGGGTCACCATGTGTCTTTTCAGCTTATACGTGTCTTTGCTGGCATAGCTGCAAAGGCAGCAGGCGTAAGGACGCTCTCCGGTGTGCGAGCGAATGTGTCGCTTCAGTTTGCTGGCCTGTCAAAAATAAGACATTTTCTGCAATAGCACACATATTCCAAAAGCACAACCAATTAAAATGTATGCAGTTTTACAAAATAATTCTGCTGCAATTTAAATATTATTTCAACCCCAGAATTAGTCCCTTCCCAATTTGCCTGTACAATCAGATTTTTGCAGGTTTAGTTAGGTAATACTTCTCTCCCCTTCTTCCCTAATTTCTTGTTTCCATCTCCTGACATTAAGAAAAGAAGAAACTTCATAAGGAGAAAATAAAGGCCAGAATTTCCAAATCGGCAAAACTGGATTCCCACTACCTTCAGGCTACTTTGATAAGGCAAATGTAAAATGCTTTGAAAATACTCAGGAAAAAATAAATGAAAGCCTGAACTCACTGATCAAAGTATTTATTCACCTGCAAGTCCCAATGAGGCAATCTCATCACAAAGGTTTAATTCACTTTACAGTTATATGTTGTTCCTATATTCTACACAAATACTTAGGTATGCAATCTAAAATTAGGATTTTCTAATGCGGAATTTCTCTTCTGACAAACATACTAAATAAATATGGAAACATTATCTAGCAGCAGTTTTAGTACATGTAAAAAGCCTCTCATTTTTAAAAGCTAAATAAATGCACAAAAAGGAATTTCAAGTAATTCATTTATAAACATTATTATATGGACAAAGTATAAAGGAATTTCAAGTAATTCATTTATAAGCATTATTATATGGACAAAGTATGGAGTCAAGGAATCCAGACTACTTTTTCTTTTCCTGAGTGGAGACGGGGAGGAAAAAATCTGCATAAAAGTGAGAGGCGTGTCTTCACAAACTTTTGTTTATCTGATATAATGCACTAATTCTGCAATAATATACTAGAATAATGGGATTCAGTATTCTCCAAAGGCCATTGGAGGAACCTGAGCCTTCACCTTAAGGCAACTGTCTGTGTGGATTCCCGGTTCCCGGGATGCTGGGGAGCTTCCTGCCTCCCCTCTGCTGCTCTGTGCTCCTCCTGCCAAGCATGAAGGGACTGCAGCCACCACAGGCTCGGCCGTTCCTCCCAGCTCAGCAAAGACTCATCCACATCACCATGGAGACTTTCACCAGCACAAACCAAGCCAGCTAAATATTAGTAATGTAGCCTGGCAATTGGCAATAGCTCTGTAATTCACTGGCCGATCTCCGATATGAACTTGACAATGAACAAGGGCAATACAGGCAGCATGATACATGCACAGGCAGGTCCCTATCTAGCAAAAACATTCTTAACACACGCTATATTGAAATCTTAGTATCTGAAAGTCTACAAGGCGTCCCAAAAGATGAAGTCATGCTGCACTTACTTCTACACTGGAGTATTTACATAGTGAGCACTTGAAGGGTTTTTCTAAAGTATGCTTGTAACGTCTGTGTCTTGCGAGCTCACCACTGGTCACAAATGCCATATCACAGTCACAGCATTTATATGGTCTGGTCCCTGTAAGAATATACCAAACCTTAGTTTTTCCTCAATAAAATACATAACAATGCTTTTTTTTTTTCTGTCAAGTATGCACCTTTTTTTTACATTTATAATCATTTTTGAGAACCCTATTTTTATAGGCAATAAATACACACCTTAGATTTATTATAAATATGGGGTCTAACAAATTGTTTAATTTATTTAAATAGCAAAGAAAAAAAAGAAATAGAACACATCATACATCATATAATTAGAACCAACTGAAGTTTAGGTTCAGTTGAAAAATGTGTCACGATACCTAACAAGAAAAATGCATTCATACACAGAGACTTAGTAACTGCACACCACATGCTTCAGAGTGAAACTTTTCAGCGAAATCAGTGAAAATTCGGAGCACAGAATAACTGAATATGACCTTTAAGACAAATTCACCTATTAAATTTTGCAGACAGTCTGTAAAAATAAGGCGCTACCTGTGTGAGCATTCACGTGGTTACGCAGGAGAGTGGCTGTACGGAAGGCCTTGAGGCAGAGGTGACACACGTGGGGTTTCTCATCGGAATGGGTTTTCACGTGACGGTTCAGACTCGATATTCTGAGCGAGGTGAACGGGCACAAATCGCAGCTGAAAACTGCTGTGAAAACAAGACATATTTAGATCATGTGAGCCACACAGTAATGACTTTACTTTTACAAAAACAGCACCAACTTCAACGTAATTCCTCTAGTCTGGATGAAACTATTTCTCACTTTTGCAATACCTTTAATAGAAGGATTTCCAAATGCACTACGAAAAAGTTGAGTTGTCAGACAGGAATTATTGTAGCTATTTATGACTGAAATGATTCATCCAAAAATAGTTCAATGAGTGATAAAGCTTGGAACCTAATCCCTAGAAACCTAACTCCTGGACTAGTTCTCAGCTCCAAGGCAGGGTAAGAGTTCCTTCTCGTGATGGTATTAACACTTGGCTCAACGGACCCTTTGCAACCCTCATCCTTAAGTCAACTGTGTTACAAGTATTAATCAAGCTTCTTTAAAAGAACTCAAAAGGGCAGATTAAGATATTATGAGCTTTCCCACAGGCCTGAATCCATAAAATAGAACTTACTATGATTTATATTTTATTAGATTTATAAAATCTTTAGTTGAACTTGAGGAAAGATAGATCAATTCCTTGAAGAATTCAAGGAAGAAAGTTATGATCCTTCCTGGATTACATAACATTTCTAAACTCATATCACAGTGATAATGAATTTCTGCAGGCAGTACTAAAGAGGAAATATGACAGACTTCTGGTTTTGAAGATCCAGAACTGCCACATGGCAAACACTTTCATATATGAAGAGCCTTTCCAGCACAGCCATCTCAGCTCCCAAGTGCACTCTCTGCAGTGATTTTCATGCTGAGATCAAAATGTATTTTATTCAATGCTTCATAGCACAGAAATGTGCAGCTAACATCCACTTCAATAACAGCAAAAAAACCCACTTTATTGCTATTTACTCATTATGGATTCACGCCCATAGAATAGTTAGCTTTGTTAAAGCTGCTCATTTGTTCCCTATAAACACAGGCTAAAACAAGGAATATTAACAATTGCTACAATATCCATATTTTAATCAATCTCATCCAACATACCTTAATATTCAGATTGTGACACATGCATTTGTAGATTCAACTCTACTGATGCCATCCAACTTTTATAGTGCATACAGTTTTTTGAGAAACAGTTGTACCTCCATTCCCTTTTAAATGAACTTTAACTTCTGCAATATACTTCTCTGTTTCTTAAATCACGTATTTTCTGTTACTTTTATTTAGATTCTGGTAGATACCTTGAAGATCAATATTTACCTACCACTGTTTCTCAGCCTGTAGCTTAGAACCATTCTAAGCTCATCCACAATCCTTACATGGACTTTTTGAAACAGAACGAAGGGACTATGAAAAACTAAGTACTTTATTAGGTTTATTCAAAGGCATTTATATCCATTATTGACATTGAAAGCTCCCTGAAGGTTTCAAGTATTGCACACTGTTTGAAAGATCATTAATTTCTAAATGCTACCCAAAATCTCTCTCCTGACACTACGCAGATATCAAACAACATTATCTTCCTCATTTAGGGCTGAAGGACATTATCCCTTCTAAATTTCCAAACCTAGCAATAAGCATTGTGAAACTTTCCTATACCACTTCAACTTCACTTCTAAATCTAATCTAAAATATGTTATCTAAAAAGGAACTAAAACTAGTCATGTTTTTACCTTTTTTCTGATATGAAGTGCTAATTTCAGATTTTAGAGATTTGGGGTTTTTGGACTCTGATGGAGACGAGTATTCCTCTTCTTTATTGCACGAAACCAACAAATCGCCACTGGCTTTACACTCCAGGCTCTTTGCTTCCTCAACACCAAAAAGTTCCTTTTCTGCTCCTTCTTCAAATGGGGTTAACGGCTGGACCTTATTTTCAAGTGCAATGACATGTTTATCAGTTTCAAGCTACTTAGAAAAAAGAAAAAAAGGGTTAAAACTCTCCTAATCAAAAAAAGTTATTAATGACAAAGAAACCAAGACACCAACAAGAAGCAAGCTACCAACTCACTTAAATTTTCAGCCTAATGCAAGGACAGCATTGCAATAAAAGTTTGCATTTAATGTGCAGCAGCCTAAACAGAGATGAGCAATTCTTCAAATTGAGCCCTACCTCTTCAAACTTTTATATCAAATTTTAGACCATCTTTTTCAGACTACAGCACTCAAAACACATAAACTTACATCCTGAAATATATTTTAATTTTTAAAAACTTAATTTCGGTACATTTACCTTTTAAAAGGAAAGGCCAAAGAAAACATGTTTGTATTTTTTTAAAAAACATTTATTAAAAATAAATAAAGGACTTGGGCAGCCAGCTTGTAATGTTCATGTACTGTTCTTGGTCATTAGGCAATTAAAAAGGTCCTGAGATTTTTGACATTAGATAAATTTAAAAATGATCATACCTCTTAAAATATAGAGTAGGATAACAGTTTTGAAATGGAAAACATGCTTTTTCCTTTAAAACCATCAGTCAGCACAGTATTAATGCCAACAGTTGCATGGCCTTTCAACACAATGCATTTTAAGTGAAACGAATTTAAAGAATTTTATATTTAAGTCCAATTAACATGAACACTTAAGCAAAATAATGTTAAAAGCAGAACCACGTCAGTACGATACCAGGATGCCAACAATTATTGCACCAGCCTTCGCCACACCCTGAGTTTCTACCTCGATGAGCAGCACGTCCACGGGGCCGTGGGCGCGCTCGGGGGGCGCCCGTTCCTGCACGATGTTGATCTGCATCCACTGCAGGTCGCAGAGGGCGCCGAGGCCGCCCTGCGCGCCGGGGGCCAGGCCCTGCCCCGCGCCGCGGCCCGGCA